TAATGATTTTAAAATTTTAATTTTGGATCCCTTAATTATCATTATCTCTTTTTTAGGATATAGAATAGATTTTTTTTTTTTGAATAATTTCATTTGGGACCATGTATTATATTGTAATAAATGATAATCAAATCATTGCTGTCTCCTCAAATTATTATTTCCTTTTTTTTCCTTCATAAAAAATATATAATTTATTATTATTCTTTAAATACTGAAAAAATAATTAGATTCATGGGGTTTCGAAATAGATCCGTATTTGTTTCTAATCCTTCAGAAACACGGTTTTATTAATTGCTGATTTAAACAATACCCACCAAAATAATAATAATAATAACAATAAAATTTAAAAAGAATAAAGAAAAAAAAGAAAAAATTATTATTTTATAATGCTAATGCTAATAATAATAATAATATATTTGTTTATTTTAAAAAGGTAATTTTAGTTGGAAAAAAAAAAAGAAAAAAAAAACAGTGTAATGTGGGGCCCACAGGGGAGGAGACTGAATGAACGAAATGAAAAGGTGAAGTGTCTGATTCGCTGTCTTTCTTTCTTTTTTCTTTTTTTTTTCTTTCTCCAATTATAATTGGGTCCCACTCCCATTCCCTTCATCACGTCCGTTGGTTTCATCTCTTTCTTTTTTTTCAACGATTCAGATTTAACCTCTTCCCTTCTATTATCTGCTTCCTAACTCATATAATAAATAAATAATATATATATATATATATATATATATATTATATAAAATAACTAACTGACTAAAATAGCCAATAGAATGTTTTATTATTATTATTATTATTATTGGAAATGGAAAATAAAAAGGCGAAAATAGTATCAAATATGTTTCATTTTTTCTATGAAAAATAATTGACGGTGTCTCTATCTATTATTTGAAAATATTATAAATTAATAATATCAAAAGATAAATAATTCTCTTAGAATGGGTAATTTTATGAGTATAGTAATAAACATTTAATAATAAGATTTAGTTTAAAAAAATTAATAACCTATTCGGGGTATATTTTTACGGTAATAGTCGAAGTCTACTGCTAATAGGTATTATTTTTTTGGGTTTTCATAGGCTTGTCAAAAATGGTTGATTATCCTATAGAGTGGGATCTCACAGTCATGGTTAGCATGATCATAGCTCAATTAATTTAAGTATTAAGGAGTATAATTTCATAAAATTGGAAAAGGATGCATTTAACCATGGTTAAGTTAAGAAACCATAGTTAATAAAGAAGGGGGAAATGATTGGGGATAATTGGAGGGTCTTTCCTCTCACACACACTTTAATTATTTCCCCATTTTCTCCTCTTCTTTTTGGGTCTATATAATCCTCTGTTTTCGCCTTCTTCTTGGATCACACCTTTCCTTCATTTTCTCTCTCTAGAAGCTCAAGAAATTTGCAGCGATTGCAATAATCATGATGTCTTCCAAACACGACAACCTTAGTTTGAGCCTTGGATTGAGCTTTGATTCTCATTATTTGCAGCTCAATCTCCGGCCTTCTTGGAATGATCATGCCTCATCAGGTTCGATTTCATTTTTAATTACGAATTTTTTTTGAATCGATCAGAACAGAGGATGAATTTCTGAGTGTTTTTGTTTTTTTGTTGCAGATCGGACATCGGAAAACAGGACGCCGCCATCGCCGGTGGATTGCGAGGAGGAGGAGGAGGAGGCGGCGGTGTCGAGTCCTAACAGTACGGTTTCGACTGTAAGTGGGAAGAGGAGTGAACCAGAGACCAACAACGGCGAGGATCTCGACGGCGATGAAGAAGACGCTGAAACTTCTAGAAAAAAACTTCGTCTCACTAAAGATCAGTCCGCCGTCTTGGAAGACAGCTTCAAAGAACACAACACTCTCAATCCGGTAAGTCCAAAACCCGACCCGACCCGATTTGTTTACAAAATTTTCTCGGCATCCAAACAGAGTTTTTATGAAGAGAAAATTTACGGGGGTATTTTGGTAATTTTACGCAGAAGCAAAAGTTAGCCTTGGCTAAACAATTGGGTCTCCGGCCACGACAAGTCGAAGTCTGGTTCCAAAACAGAAGGGCAAGGTGAGGAAATTTCCTTAATCTCCAAGGGTATTTTAGTCCAAATGATAAATTAAATCTAGAATCTAAAATCCCTCGTATTTGGACCCCTATACTTTTTTTTTTTACCAATTTAAACCCATGAATTTTCAGGTATTCATATTTTGACCCATGATTTTGGTTTGAGCAGGACAAAGTTGAAGCAAACGGAAGTTGACTGTGAGTTTCTAAAGAGATGCTGTGAGAATCTAACGGAGGAGAACAGGCGGTTGCAAAAAGAAGTTCAGGAACTGAGAGCACTGAAACTTTCCCCTCAGTTCTACATGCACATGGCCCCACCCACCACCCTCACCATGTGCCCGTCATGTGAGCGCGTGGCGGTCCCATCCTCCACGTCGGCTCCACTCAACGTAACGAGAATGGGCCCGGCTCAAGCCCAAGCCCAAGCCCAAGCCCAAGCCCAATCCAAGGCCCTTCACTCTCGGCCTATCCATGTCAACCCGTGGGCCTCCGCCATCCCGGCCCGGCCCTTTAACGCTCTCCACCCTCGCTCGTAAATACTCTCCGTTGGGCCGGATTTGGTGGGCCTCTTTTTTGTAATATTGGGCCTATCTTGTCATATTAGGGCTCAGTAGTTTTATTTTTTTCTAAGATTTAGGAAATTGGAGACAAAAAATAAAAAAATAAAAAAAATTGAGTTGTAAAGTGAGAATGAGATGCCTAATTTATTACTATTATTATTATTTAATTGAAACTAATTTTAATTCAGGCTCATTCTTGTCATTTTTTATTTAATAATTATTTGATTGTTATTTTATTATTTTTATTTTGTAACTTATATATATCTATAATATGTAGATAAGGTTGAGTGTATTATCTTGGTAATACTATTAAGACAGTTGTTAACATCTAAAATGTGTTATTTGTACGTCTTATTTAGAGCTAATTTCACTGTTTTTTAATTGTTTACCGTCTATTTCTTAGTAATTAGAGCTATTTTAAATCTTGACATAGTTGTAATTAACCACAAAGCCCTTAAACCCATGTAGGTAGTGTCTTGACACTGCTTCGAACCCGTATAAGTAGCATCTTAGCGTTGTTGAAAACCACCCAGCAGTGCCATGCTCGATATTATGGTAAATCTTGCTCAACGTTGTCCATTAGCGTCTCGATGTTTTTAATGGGCATGCCCATTGTTTTTCGTGTCTAGACTCGTTGGGATTTTCATGACTTTTTCTTTATTTAAAGAGGTAACCTCTCATTACCGCCATAATTACTATAAATTCATCTTTGTCCGTAGGACAAACAAAACTTATGATTTATGTTTAGGTTTAGGTTTTTAGACACTTTATAAAATTTTACTTTATATTTATACTTAAACTCTTGTAACAATCAAACCATGGCATATTTTACTTTTTGTCATGATAAGCGACTAAAGTTCATAATCTAATCCCAGAGTTGGTTTGAGTTTGTTGAAATTTTTATTAATCCAAGCATTCTTTTATGTAGAGCATGTAATGTGGATGGAATTAAAATATTATTTTAGGGTTCATAATTGTCTTGAATGATCAAACTAGGTAGCATAAGAGTTATCATGACCTGTTAATCGATGAGCAAAAATATGGATCGAGACGGACGGACCATGCAACGCAAACTAAGCAGAAATAGAAAATAATGGAAGAATCACTAAAATTTTGCACCATTTAAAATTCATAGTAAAAGATAATGATAGATGCAATGTACATGACCGAATACAAAATAAGTGGAGATGGTTTGGGACCCATGAAGAGGAAAAAACAAAGTATGACAGTCCTTAGTATGAAGACAAGCTAGACACTTCAAGCTGACCCCCTCGCGGTCGCCTTAGACAGCAAAGTCATACTTCCGAAAAACAAGTAAAGAAAGTGGTGAGTATATAAGTATACCTAGTAAGTGACCTACTTGTAGACTATTATCGCAATCTTGTTATAGTGTGTCACTACAGACTTATCATTTCATCTCTAGGGACAACCCTTGCTTCTTACATATTTGGATAATGGTCTTAGCCTATGCAGTGAGAATCAGTGTCGTGGTTGAGGCACTACCTCGAAAAAGAAATGAAATTTCTCTCTTTCGAGACATCACGGTATATGCTAACATGCTTTGTTTTCCCGTGGAATGATAGCTGGCAAACCTTAACCCACATGACTACCTTGTCACCTGTGTTTGGGGAAGCCACTCCCCCTGTGCGGCCAACTACTAAGGCTACATGAATTTATTGGTTTGTCATTGATGTAAAGCTCGACAGATTATTTGAAAGAACACATAAATTTGAGCTTTCTTGAAATTGACTTTTTATAGACACTTGAATTTGTATCCGATGTTAGGGTGTAAAAGCTCGGTGGGTGAGATTTTTTGAAAATTTATTGAAAATTCGTGAAACACAAGATTTTAGGAAGGTCGGATCCATTTAGGTCTAAATATGACAGCATGCTTGATGTCATGGTCATATTTGTCCAAAATATTTTGTGACAACCACGTGTCGGATGTGTCTATGGCTAAATACCCATTTCAAACCTTTTTTTTAATGAGTTGTTCCGCCATGTAATAGACTCATGAACTTTTAAAAATTATATATATAACAGTGTTTTATCTATTTAATTTTAAATTTCTAGTTAAATTTATATTTGATATAAAAAAATTAATAAGATAAAAGATAAAAGATTTTTCTGTACCATCTTACTAAAAGCCACACCAAAAGAAAGCATTTTCAATCGCAGCCTTAGTCAAATTAATTCACGATGCTGTTCAATAGGTTAGGAATCACTACCTTCCACAATGACGTGATATTGTCTACTTTGAGCATAAGTTCTCGTAGTACCAATAAAGATGTATTTCGCACGATTTCTTCCCAACAATCCTCGACATGATATAACTTTGTAGTCCAAACGTTCTATGTCCAAATAGATAGAAAGAAATAGTTAATCAGGCGAAACAACTTAATCCATCTCATTTAATAGATGATAAGCTCTCAAAACACGACATAGTTATTAGCCTTGTGTATTTCAGCTGCAGATCAACAAACACTAATGACAGATGCCTGCTGAATTACAATTACAGCATCTGTCATATATCAAAGAAGAAAAGGAGAGAAGAAAAACAAAAAAAGGTGTCAGAAAAGTACCCTATAAACGTCAGTTGAAGGATTTGAAGTTCAAATTTTGATGAACTTACTGAACATGTTTCAAACTTCAAGCTTGCCTTGAAGTGTTCCTACCAATTTGTCCACTTGATTTCTTGATCAATTCGATTCTTTGAAGCCTGATTTGCTCTCTGAATTTGGCTATGAACTCATCAGCCTTTTTATCTACATCTGGTCCTCCGTCATTAGCCATATTGCTAGAGCCTGCTTCTTCAGAACTTGTTTCATTGAAATCTCTCCTTTTCACATTGAAAGGTTCTCCGTTATCTTCCCGGATAAACTGCCCCACTACATCGTCTTCTTCTTCTTCGTTTTCCATGTCGTCGCCTGCTTCCATGGCTAGTTTTTCAACTAGGTTTTCTTTATATTCATCTGGAAACTCTATGGGGTTTTCTTCAAATTCTTGTGCATGCGGATTCTGTTCCATCTTCCCCTTCAATTGATCAGTTCCTCCAAATTCTCTCCCTCTTCTTGGTGGCTCATTCAGAACTTCTCCTGGTCTGATTGTTCTAACAGATTTCCCCATTGATTGACCATCTACATAATTTCTAGGCGGAACTTCAGCACTTGAATTAGCATCCATCATCAGATCGATTTCATCTCCTGTATCACGAATGGATCTTCTAGGTTTGGTAGTAAGGCTTCGTCTCAAATCATTTTGATGGGATACATCACTATCATGCAGCCAAGAGTTCGGTTTCATTGAGGATATTCTTCGAACAGTTGGTGGGGGCGGAGGAGGAGGTGGAGGAGATGAATAAAAGTTCTTCTTCCTCACCAAATCCTCAGCACTCTTGGCCTGTAATTCAGGTGACACAGTAGGAGAAGGAGATGGTTTCCTAGGAGATGGAGAGGGAGATAGTTTCTGAGTGCTAATGGCACTGGCTCGAGAAGACCTTGAAGTTGGAGGTCTTGACGATCGAGAATCGATCCAACTCGATTCAGATTCCTCCATGGGAGCAGCAGGAGAATACATAGGAAGGTTTTCGGCTTCTTCTTGCACCTCCTTCCTCTCCGATCTCGAGCGCCATGGAACTGGGGAAGGAAGAACGACTTTCTCATTCATCTCCTCATTCGAACTCCTCATAGGCATACTCAAAGATCTTCTCGAACTCACTCTCCGCTTAGATCCAGAAATGGTTTTATACTCATCGTCCACAACAACACGAGATTTCAAGCTACGAACAGGAAGAAGCAGAGGTTTCTCACTCCTAACTCTCTGCTCATTAACAACAGGACGTTCTTCAGCAACAACGACAGATTCATTCCTAAAATACCGATTACTCCATGTTTGAACCTTATTTTCATCAGGTGAAGACACCGATTCATCATTAGCAGACGGAGTTCCAGGCTCATCATCAAAAACAGACGAAACATGAAGCAATCGAGAAACATAAGATTGAACATTATCAAATCTAGAGACACTAATTTCATCCTCTATCTCGTCAGTTCTCCGACTAAAGAGGCCATAAGAAACCGCGATTCCAACGAAAAGAAGGTGCAGAAGCTCCCAGCTTCTGGTGAGTAACGTTTGATTAATGAACTCAGGGGCTTGGGAGGGGACTAAAGGGAGAATCACCAGAAAGAAAATGGCCGTTAAAACTTTGTACAAGATATGGCTATGGAACTTACTTGGAGTAGGCTGATTTTGCTCTGCCGCGAGATTCGAGGTTTTGGCATGAACGTCTGATTCCGCCATTGAAGAAGGATGGAGAAAGAGATTCTTATTCTTCTTGGACTTCGATGAACGGAGGGTAATGGAGTTGCAGAGAAGGGATGAAGAAGATGAAGATGAAGACTTAATGGCGAAGAAAAAAGATAGAGATAGAGAGAGAGAGAGAGAGTTGCAGAGAAGGGGAAAGAGTTTGGAGAAGGAACAAAGAACAATTTGAACCTTTTCTTTTCGAACCACTTTTTAACGGTTCCTTACCAATTGACCAATATACCCTTCCCTTTATTATTTTATTCTCCCCCCATTTTCTAATTTTTTTTTGTTATAATAATAAATAGATAAATTACAAATTTTAATTTACCCGTTACTAAAAAATTACTAAAATTTAAAATTATTTAATGGATCTATAAATTTTTTATTTTTTATTCAATATTTATTTAAAATATAAAACATAAAAATTTAATATTAATAGCTTTGTTAATTTAAAAAAACATTATATATAATAGAGATGATCAAATTATCATTTTTAAAGTTTAAAAATTCATTACCCATTAAATAGTCTATAAACTAAAATTTTAATTTAATTCAAACAAATATAGGTGAAATGTCCATTTTAACCTTGAACTATGCATTTGAAAGGACAAATCTGCTCATGAAAACATGGGCATTTAAGTAATCAACCATAGTTGTTAAGAAAAATAAAAATGAAACAAATTCATAGGGATAATGAAATAATAATTAAATTAAGATTTTAATTTAATTCAAACAAATATAGGCGAAATGTCCATTTTAACCTTGAACTAGGCATTTGGAGGAGGACAAATCTGCTACTGAAAAACATGGGCTTTTAAGTAATCAACCATAGTTTTTAAGAAAAATAAAAATAAAACAAATTCATAGGGATAATGAAATAATAATTGGAAAAAAGGAGGTTATAATCGGAAAGTAAAGATAGGGGTAGAAATGGCAATAGAGGAAAAGGGAGGGGGCAAATGGGCTGCACAGAAACTATCAGGATTCTTCTTTTGGACTGCTTACGCTAGCTTTTTTGTGGAAGCTCAATATTTAAAATTAAAAAATTATTCTAAATTTTAATTTTATTTTTTTTTCAAAAGAAAAATAAAATTAAAACTTTAACATCCTGTTGTCTAGTCTACTTAGCCTTCTCTTAAAGACCACGCAGACTCTTCTTCCCGACTTCTTTTTAGGTTAATCTAGCCATTTTTCATGCGGTTCTCGGTCGGTTCGATGTATTCGACTAATTTGATTCAAAATAGTTCGAAAGTTCTGGTTTGGTTAGGGTAGATCGGTTCATCAGCCATTTGAAATAAGCTATAACAAGTATGGTTATTATATTTTTAAATCAAATATAAGTCGATTCAATTAGGGTGGATTGGTTCCTATGTTATTTGATTTCGAGAGTGGTTTAAATTTGTTTTATATTGAAGTAGTTGAACCCATCCGTTTGATCGCATATGCCCTTTGGATTAAATTGAACCACGTACGTGAAAATCAAAAGAACGAACATGCTTAGATTCTATTAGGGTATATTAGTTTGTAGGTTTCTTGGTTTCGAAGTCACGTTGTAGGAGTTCAAGTCCACTCCTAATAGATATTGTTCTTTTTCGACCTTTTCTTTTGGGATCCCCTCAATGTTTTAAAAATGCGTCTGCTAGGGAGTGGTTTCCACAGCCTTGTAAAGAATGTTTCTTTCCTCTCTCCAATCGATGTGAGATTTTATAGACCCCATTCGGAGCCCTGCATCCTTGCTGGCACATCGTCTAGTGTCTGGCTCTAATATCATTTGTAACAACCCAAGCCCACCTCACACACACCCCTTTAGTGCCCTGAATCCTCCACCGCTGGGTGTCTAGCTCTAATACCATTTGTAACAACCTAAGCCCACCTCACACACCCCCCCCTTCGGTGCTCTGCATCCTCCACCGCTGGGTGTCTAGCTCTAATATCATTTGTAGCAACCCAAGGTGGTGCCCTGCATCCTCCACTACTCCGTGTCTGGCTCTAATACCATTTGTAACAACCCAAGTCCACCTCACACACCTCCCTTCGATAACCTGCATCCTCCACCGCCCCGTGTCTAGCTCTAATATCACCTGTAGCAACTCAAGCCCACCTCACACACACCCCTTCGATGCCCTACATCCTCCACCGCTCGGTGTTTGGCTCTAATACCATTTGTAACAGCCCAAGCGCACCGTTAGTAGATATTGTCTTATTTGGGCTTTTGTGTTAGGGTTTTCCCTCAAAACTTTTAAAACGCTTTTGCTAAGGAGAGATTTCTACACCCTTATAAAGAATGTTTTATTCCTCCTCTAACTGATGTTGGATCTCACAATTGTGTACTACAAAATAGATATGTTCAACTTTAACTAATCTCCATAGACAATCATTTGACCTTACTACATTCAGTTGACATGGGTGACACCATTGACTGAACTCATTTCCTCTTATTTTCTCAAGATCGTGATAACTGCCAGTTCAACTCAACGTCATTAATTCGTAAGTTCTTCAACTCAATTGAACAAATCAAACAAGACAGCTAGCACACGAGCACTTTTTCTCATCTACTTGAATAGCTCGGGATCGGGATAAAAAATATTGTAGATAAAGTTAAGGTTTATATTCTTTTTGTTTAGCACAATATTGAATTGAAATATAGGCCAATGGGGAAAAGAATTCCTCCTCTCAATGGACAAAGAATCAAAGAATAATATATTCTATAAGTTCCATTGGATTTGAGTTTGATAGCCATTGGTGATAAGAGAGAACTCTTTCATTCGAATTTATTCAATCAATTGAAAATGACATTTAATTATTATTCTCATTTCTTCCCATATTTTATTCTTATTGCATGCATCGCGTACGCGTTACGTCATAGATTATCCGAATGAGAAGTGTTCAAAAAAATTCGATGACTAAAAAATCTGATCAATTCAGCCCAACTCATACGATAAATTTACTTGAGTTAAGTTGGGTTCAAATAAATGAAAATTTTATGAGTTTGATTGGTCGTATGTTTCTCTAAAACTAGATTGAGTTGGTCGACCATACTTGAATTTATTCTTAATTTTAAATTTTTTTTTTTACAATATAATTATATATATATATATATATATATTATTTATTATATATTTACTCCTAAAAATTATTTTTATTTTTTGGAAGGTGATTTTTAAAAAATATATTCTAATTAACTTTTAAAAAATGGGTAAAAATATGGGCTGGGCTTTCACTATTTCAATGTGGACTAGACATTAACCCAAAACACTAACATGGGCTCTTGGGCTTTGACATTGGGCCAACTAATGTGGCCCAATGTTAGAAGCATGGTAGTTAAAAAGTGAAATGGACTATAATTAAGATAAAATTGGTAACTAAAAATTGTAAATAAAATAAAAAGTATTATGGTGTTTTTTTAATGTAAAAATGTATTAGGGTTAATTGTTGAGTATCGGTTACACGTGAATTACATGTATATTGACTATAAATACTCAAACTTACTAAAATCCTTAATTTATTTATTTTTTCTATTGAAATAAATGTTTTAGAATATTTGATCGTGATCGCATATTTAATTATTTTAAAGAATATAGTTTTTCTCCACTGCTTTGATGTAACAGCCCAAGCCCAATTATAGTCGATCGTAAACATTTATTATAAACATTTTTAGATCCCATCATTAATTGATATGATTATTTAATTGAAATATTTAAAGCAATACAATTATTAATTATTAATTTAGAGTTTTAATTAATACTATAAATTTAAAAAAATAAAAAAATAATAAAAAATAATTTTCAGGATAATAATAGCATATTTAATTCTAAACACAAATTATCAAGGAAATCCATCCAAACTGATTGCCTTCATTCCATTGGTTCGTACGGTATTCATTATTAATATTGCCATTCAACCGGGAGAAATTTTAAACTGACGCACTGTGAGTTTTATTTTCATGAATGCAAAACGATCAGCATACACGTGGCTTACACCAATGCGCTGCAACACAATATTTCTGACCGTCACGTTACTTTAACATTACATTATGAACCAATTCGTCGATTCTTCTACGAGCATTTGCCAGACTTCCTCTCTGTCTCTGTCTCTGTCTCTCTCTCTCTCATTAATCGGTTTCAGAGAATGTTAAGCAAATGGTTGGAGTAGAATCCAATCCATGGTAGCTTCTCAATCCCTAACCAAATTCTAGGGTTCTGTTGTCGAAATATTCCGTCGTTTTTTTCCCCAATTTCGTTCTTCCCCAAATCGATTGTCATTCGTGTTGATCAGTTGCAGTTTCCATCTCCGCCGATCCTGTTCTTGATTTCTGGCTTCCAGGAGGGTGGCGACTTCTGTGAGAATTTCGTTTTTCGCATTTCTCCTTCGTGATCTTTCTGGAGTTTGGTTTAGGAATGAATGTTAGGTTTTCGCGATGGGGGATTTTGGTCACTGGTGTATAATCAAATCATGCGTGTTGGTTGAGAATTTTTCTATTTAGGGCAAACGGGTGGGGATTGTTGGTTTGTTTATGTGTTGGAGATTATTGGTGTTCTTTGACTATTCGGTTTATTGCAGTTGATTTTTTTGGGGTTTTTTAATTTGAGGATATGCATATTGAGGAATTGAAGGAAGGGGAGTTGCAGAGTGGGGAAGAGGGAAATTCAGGTTCCATTGTAAGTAATTTGGAGGACCAGAGCGTTATTAGGTCTGATGTTAAAAGGATCGTTGTTGGAGTTGGGGCTCGTGTTCTTTTCTACCCGACTTTGCTTTACAATGTTTTCAGAAATAAGCTTCAGACGGAGTTTCGTTGGTGGGACAGGGTCGATGAGGTATATTTATTTTTGATCTTGTCAATTTCTTACCAAACCAGATGATAAAAGAATGCATGATTATCCGAGAGCATTGTTTTTTTTTTTCAGTTTATATTGTTAGGTGCTGTTCCATTCCCTGCCGATGTTCCCCGTTTGAAGGAGGTTGGCGTTGGAGGAGTGATAACACTAAATGAGCCATATGAGACTTTGGTTCCTTCAACTCTATATCGTGTAGGTATCTTTTGAATTTGCTTGTCTTGTGCTAAATGCATTCTGTTATATTCTCTATAGTTGTGTTAAGTGAAATGCTTTCCTAAGCTCAACGCACGCTAAAGCACAATAACCCTCTGGTTGCGCTTGTTGTCCGAGGCACAAAAAAAAGCTATGAAAAATAATAGTCTTGCAAATAATAGGATGATGAAAAGCTTAAGAAAATAGGGCTTTTATTCCACATTGCAAGGAAAGATGATTAGTTTTGAAGGATATTCTAGGTTTTCTTCCTTTAACTTAAAGCAAGGAGCAGGGGCTGAGACCCAAGGCACTTGCCTCAGTGGGATTTCTGAAAACACTGGTAAAGAGTAAAGTTAGGGAGGAAATTACCTTCCATGAATTTCAAAAGGTGCTGCTAGAAGCTAATTTGGTGTCCTGTTTGTTTGGATGTAGTCTATACTTACAATAATTTGGTGCCACTGTTCACTCAGATAAGAAGGCTACTTCTTACCGTCAAGATTCCCTATCTCTAATTTTATTGTCCAGTTTCCTCACTGGGATAGATTGTCTTCCTACTAACTCAATGCATCCCCCATCTTCCATACCATTCCAATTCCTAACGTGTCTCATACATCTGTTTTTGATGAATGTCTCAAAATTCTTTCCAGGGACCTCTTAATGTCAATAGGACTTTGAAAAGGGAGAGAAAGTAAAGTGAGATATTACTCAACACCTAATAAGTCAGGGGAAGTGTTCCCCCCTTCAAAAGAAGTTTTCCTCTCTTTGGACGACCTTCTCAACCATAGGGTCTTGAAAGAGGATGGTGTAGGATTGTGTCCAAGGGCGCATTGAGATACAAACAAGTTAAGTAGGCATCAACAGACCCATCTTGGTTGGTTATTGCAATTTTCACCAACCATTGTGCACTTTTCCTTGTTCACTTTCAAACTAGATAACAAGCAAATGTTAGGTTTAAACCTAATTTAAAAGGGTCTCTTTTCCAAACAACGGAAGATAATGTCATATTTGTAGATTGCAAATGAGAGAGATGACATTATCCTTCCTAATCTTGAAACCCTCAATTAGACCTTTCTTCATACTCCTTGAAGTTGCACTACTAAGAATATCAACCACATGAGATTAGGTTTATTCTCTTCCAAACGATCCAGAAATCTCACTTTATTTATATCTCCCGTTTTTAATTGCATCAATCTCCAAATACTCTCCTATTTCAATCTTTCAAACTTTGAGCATGTTTAACCTCATTTGTATATCTCTGCAAGCAAGTATTTTCCACAGCATCTCTGTTATAAACCCACGTTTGCTTCATCAATCTAAAATCCTCCCACCTCTCTTCCACATTGGCAGACCAACAAGATATCAGAAGGACTTACAAAATGGCGTTTGAGAGACTTCGAATGCTATATCCATACTACCTGTAGGATTGCCATTATCATTTTGATATGCACTCTTCGTAGTGAATTATGGTCTTCTGTACATTTCTTTCCATGTTTGAATTTTGCCTGCAATGGAAAATTCAAGTTTAAGTATTATCTGAGATGAGGTTGTTTCAGCTGATATTTAATGACCTGATGTTATTTCTTAACTTGATTATTGTAGCTATTTTCCCTTAGCCTTCCTGTGCCTTAAGTTGATTTGAGAACGAGTTTTGCCCTTTTACTGTTGCAGGATTATGACATTGATCATCTGACCATTCCAACTAGAGACTATTGCTTTGCACCTTTATTGAGTGACATTTGCATTGCTACAAATTTCATCCACAGTACGTATCTTATACTAAATTCATTCTGTTTCCATCCTCAGGATGCTCATTTTTATTTTATTGTTTGGGAAAAGTGATACGTGGAAATCACTACAAGGGAAGTAAGATTCGGATTACCTTGTTGATCGAATATCTCAAGGCAAGAACATTGTTTGAGATTCGAATCACTCCACAAGCAAGATCGATCATATCTAGCTTAAATGATTCTTGTTGATCAAATGTCTCAATGCAAGAACACTTGTTTGAGATTCGAATCACTCCACAAGCAAGATTGATCATGTCGAGCTTGAATGATTCTATATGCAACCTAAACTACATAGAATTGCAAATGAACTTAGCCATTGGCTAAAGAAAGCATCAATGCTCCTTTTAATATATTTTCCAAGTCTCCTTACAAATACAACATACATGGCTTTATATAGCCTCAAAATGAAACTATTAAAGACATTTCAAGAGTTGTAACATTCATACTTAATGACCATAATTAACCATTATGTAATTGTAACCTAAAGTAAATAAAAAGTCTTAAAATACATTAATGAAATACAATAACTCTAAATTACTCTAAATTGTAATTCACCCAAAATTTATAACATGAAACTTTATTCTTCACGTGGCATGAATGGAAATATCTTTTGATAATTTCAACAATATTTTCTTCACATCTTCATTGAAGTATATTGTATGATTGATGTCTCTTGGTTCATATCAAAAAGGTAGTCGTCCATGTTTATTAAATGAGAATGTGAACCTTCAAGTTTATGGTATCAATCAAACTGTTCATGGGTGAATAATTTCATTTTATGCTGTTATCAAAGAAAATGCATTGCACGGACAGACTACATATGTTCATTGTAAAGCTGGACGAGGGCGTAGCACAACCGTTGTTATCTGCTATTTGGTAAGTTTTTGAATGCTAATAAAATAACCTTAATTCTTAAGTTTTAAAATCAAAGAGCCTTTGGTTTTCTGAGGCTTTGTGGTGGTGTACAGGTGCAATACAAGCAAATGACGCCAGATGAAGCTTACAAACACGTGAAGTCAATCAGGCCAAGGGTGCTTCTAGCATCATCACAGTGGCAGGTATTGCTGCAATCCTGTCTGCTTGATTTTAAATTCTAAATGGTTCTTTCCTTTCTGGAAGATGTGGACTCCGACTTGTTTTTTGTGTGTCCATGTACATTCTTTCATCATTCTCAATGACAGCTCAGTTTCTCATGAAAAAAAAAAAATTCTAAATAGTACAGCGTTCGTATGAAGGAATAACCTTCCACTTTTTGAGCTCATCTCATTGTTTCTGTGGTTTGGTTTCAAGTGTATTGAGTTATCTGCTATTTATTTATTCACCTTTCTACATCGTCGCTTGTTAACTTTGGGGGTTGGGGATGTTAATATTTTAAGCCGATATTGTCAGTTTGGGCCACATTTTGACCTGAATGGTGCTGCATTACAGCTTCTGGCTGCATGCCATACTTCATACCCCACTTTGACATCCTTTCATCCCAGTTTGGACTTGATGACTATTCTTTTAGTACATGCATGTTAATCGCCGGTTTTCAATTGCAGGCTGTCCTGGAATTCTACCACATGATTGTTCAGAAGGATGTTTCCTTCTGCCACATAGATGATCTAGGAAAGAAAGTATCTGGATCATCACACGATCTTATCACATTTGATGATAGTTCTGTAGTTGTTGTAAAAGGATCTGATCTCGAAGGATATGACCCAAGTATCAGCCAAAGTGAAATGGGCGATATCTGGGCAGATTTAAATGTGGTCTGCAGAGTTCGTGTTGCTGGTCAGGCAGCCCTCACAAGAATCTCCTGTTTGTGGCTCAGCTATCGAGAAAAACACCATAGCAAGAAAATTTCAGGAGATGATCTAGGTGTTGGGAAGGGCTGTTCACTCAGTGCTGCTCATTTGGAAGGGTTCAGTGTGGACATCCATGTCTATTAAACCAATTCAGAGGTCACAAGTTTTCTGTACTTACCTCTTATATATGCTAAAATATAGTGAAATATGTATCGGGCAGATTTGAAATTGTTAATATCATGTACCTATAAGTGAGATTATCATGTCCAATATGTATTCATCCTGAACATGTTAATGCAATTCTTATGTTTCATGAATTCGAATTTTTTCATTGAGTTCTAACTCGTCTCTTGGAATACATAGGATATATACTTCCATTGTTTCCATATATATTTGTAAAAATAGGCTTACATGGTAAATTAGGATTCAGAGAGCTTGGTTTTGTGAATTATCTTCTTCTTTTCGTTACTCTTAATTTAATCAATACTGGTGGTCATTGACTCTCCCACATCCATCTGATTGATTCTTTATCCTTGCAAGTATGGTACCACATACTTTCTCATGTCACTGTTGGAAATTTTAACATGATCTCCAGAAACGCTTATGTACTTCACTCTCCCTGCTTTATCCAATGTTTGCAATCCAATCCAGTCTTCAATGTAAAGTTTTGTCTGCAGAAATCAGCAGAAGTGATTACATTGCATATATATACATAGGTTGTCATAATCACTATAGATGTTAGATGTCTTCGATGCGATTAGTTCAGGGTCGATAATAATTTTTTTTTTTTAATATTCTACAGGCTTAGAAAAACCAGATGTAGTATAGTCAAACAGTTGCGATGTGAGTTAGCTTGATACCTGTTGTGGAGGTATAGTTGAATTAAAAGCCCCATCTTTGTAGTAACCAAACCAGGAGGTTTCTCTGGGGACCAAAACCGTGTCGTGCTCGAACTGGACAAACAAATACTGATTAAATAAGAGTAGGCGATATGGATTTGCTGATTTCTCAAAGAACTGCAAGATGTCAATTGTCATGAATGTAAAGCCTTCCAAACCTACCATAATTAGCACCAAGTTTTGTAGGCTACTGAATCGTTGCTTATAGGTTGAGTTTCTCGCTTGTGGGAGTTCATTGTTGAGCTTAGGAAGAAACTTGCATTTCTCCAAATATTTTGGGATAGCCTGGAAGGAAAAGCTAATGTGTCATTTTTGTAGTGAGAAACAATGTCCAAATGGAAACAAGAACATCAAAGTGTAGTGGCAAAAAGCAAAATTTCAGCATCAAATATGAAGCTTTAGAAACTAGTGCTCACGTTTGGTAATTTGAGAAAGCCACTGGGAGCTAGATGATCCTGTGACAACCAACAGAGAGGGAAAAACATGTTTAGAGCTGAGGGATCGAAGCGAAAAAAGAGGTAAAAAAGAAGAAGCTATAGGTGAGTTGTACTTGAACATAATCACTGTAGATCTCCGACTTGATTAGTTCGTCTGCAAAGCGACAGAAAATGGCAGACTACAGAAACCAAAAATCATTGAAAATGGCTATTAACATAGCTTAGATGTAACAAAAATCTAGAAACTGAAGATGAAAGGCAAATTCAGAACTTAGAACTTACACCACAGAGAGGAACGGAAGCAATGCCAGCATGAGGGCCTGCTAAAGATATGAAGTTCTTGACCTTTAGACATAGACATGAAGAGTGAGGAGATATTCGAGACAATAAGAGAGTTAGAAAAGATCTTAATAGGTTCTCACTGGTGGTGCTCCATCACAAAACTCAACAACTCCTCTGCCTATCAAGTTACCCTGTTCAGCCAAACACAAGTTCATAATAGTTTCTTGCAAAATCTTCTAGTTTGGATCCAAGTTTAATGATTACCTGGGAGAGACCAACTATATTGTAACCTTTTTTGAGTTCCTCCATTTTCTTCACCTGCATTGGAAATTCATACAGTAAGATACTTCAGAGATTAGGTGACTAACGTAGCCATGAGGATTTTTGCACCTTCTCACAAACAATTCCAGCCTGAAAGCATGAGAAAACTTGGTTAGAATGAGTACCTCTGATTCTTATTACTTTTCAATATTCCATATGGAAAAAAAGAAAAGGTCTTACCTGTTTCTCAAGGGGCATAAACCAAGAATCCAACACTCCATTCCCGACTTCACTGGTAAGATTAGCAATTGAAAAGAAAAAAACCCATTATTCTTCATCAAAAAAGAAACTTTAATTACTGAAATTTGCAGCAAAATCAATAGAAAAACGAGCTCTGGATTGCATATTAAAAATAGATCTGAAGGGTTTCGTTAAAAGAAAAAGGAAACCCAGCAGGAAAAATGGATACTATTTAGACATACAGGCAATATCCTTCAACGCCAGAATAGTTACTCAGTAGTTCAGTGAAGTTTTTAAGCCCTTGACTTGAGCACTGACTTCCTATGCCTGCCATGACCACAAAACAGAACTCCATCACAAACAAAAACAATAGCTTCCTTCAAGTATGGTATGAAATATAAGAACTATATGCTATTAATCTCTGGTATGCAGGCACAGTGCAGCTAATTATAGTGTTTTTATTAGCCCACAAGCCTTTTGCAATGGTTGGCGCCTCGCTTTTCTGAAGCAAGGTGTAGGATTTGCGTCTTAGTATGCTTTTTAAAACACTGGTATGATGGTATGATATTATCCACTTTAAATCTAAGTTAACGTAGTTTTATTTTCAGATTTACAATTCAAGTGCTGATGTTATGATATTGTCTTCTTTAGGCTTTTCCTTTCGGGCTTCCTCTCAAAGTTTTAAAACGCATCTGCCAGAGAGAGGTTTCCGCATCCTTATAAAGAATGCTTCGTTCTCCTCCCCAACCGATGTGAGGTCTCACATACTATATTTGCATCTTCAATAAATTTTAAACAATGGGCGATGATCTGAGGGTGGTCGAGGTAGGTTGAGCACCTAGCACTTGACAATGGCCATGCCTAGAGCATTCAAGATGACAATCTCTCAGAATGTGCTTTCTTGTTACCTTATCTCTCACAATGTGCATTTTAGTGTGATCGGAGGTGAAGTGACAATGCTAGACGTAGCGACAAAGGGCGTTTGGCAGACACCAGACCACTATCTATCTTCATTGGTTTGGTAACACTTACCCTTTTTCCTCAGTACAATGAGCATGTTTCTTATGCGAACATTGATATCAATTGTTGAGTTCTGGGGGAACAGACTCATATCCATGGAATCTCCCCTCAAAGAGAAGGCAATCCAACTTAACTAAACCAACCATCCCCCATAGAGTTTCAAAGTTACTTCAAGCACACGAAAGTTCAAAAACAAATACAAATGCCTCAAATCAAAGTAAACCCAGCAAAGAAACTAGCTCAAAATCCCATTGATTCACCACGATCAACCCAGAAAACAAGAACAATTCAAAAACCCCATCAGAGAGTAAATCGAAAAACAGAGGCAAATAAGAACAGAGCCAGATTAGATGTTACCATGGAGAACAACGAAGGGCAGTGAAAGAGAAACCGGAATCGCAGCGAAAACGAGAATGAAGGAGAAAAAGGGCATTAAAGAGGGAGAATCCATGGGGATTGTTGGGGAAGAACTTGAGATAACATGGAGAAATTTATAGAAATGGGTGAGAGCTTGAGAATCCAGCAATGGCGTGTGAGATTCATCCTTGTCTTCTCCCCAAGATTTTTGGGAGCGGTTTTCACACAATGTCGTCTGAAAACAAGACTTGGGAATTGGGAATTTGATCGCATTTAGTGAGTTATGGTTGATGGTTAAAAAGGCGTGGTGGTGCCGTTGTGGGCATTTATTGGGTGGCCATTGGCTAATATGGCCCAGTTCCAAAATCTCAAACAAAGCAATGATCTGATTGATATTAAAGATGTTGATTACAAGGCTCTTAATTAATTATGCTTAACTAACTTTTTACTTTGGAAGAAGGTAAAGATTTGAATCTTCTACTCAAAGATTTATGGGATCCTAAGCACGAGGTGAGTTTACTCGTTGGTGTCAATCAGACAGTTTGTAGATTCTTATTACTCTCTGTGGTGCTTTAAGACTAATAAGTTTTATGTTACGTCAATTAAAACTTGCTTGATTTGTTTCCTTCTTCGATTCTTCCTTCCCCCTCTTGGTTTCTTTTCCTCCACAAACCAAAGAACTCTCGGTGCAATCTAACCATGTAGAGATTGTAAAGCTTTCGTTAGGGTTTTTGAGAAGAAATCGATGGAAAAGTTTAAAAGACCCACAAGCCTACCGTCGAAGTTCTCCTCCCTCAGTGACATGAGCTTCAATCGTTTGTAAGTATCGAATTTCCAATGGCAATGGGGTCTTGGTTTTCTCCCTCAGGTTCTCTTCTTCTCTAGCTCGCCTCTCCTTGCTTTTAAACTACTTTAGACGTCCAAAACTGTCGAAATCCTAAACGGATCGGGGTTTCCTCTGTAAGTTCTCATACCCTTTGTTCATCCATTTCACTGTGGAGGCCGCTAGCTACCGTGTATGACTAGCGGCTCCATACCCTCCTAGTTTATATGCTTTGTAAGGACCCTAAATTTTGCCTATTTAATCTAGGGTCATTACTGTGAATGTTTGATTAATCCACCACACCTAAATGGTGTGAAAGTTATCTTATTTATAATCAAATAAATTACAAGGATATGGAAATAGTAATAAATGGAAATAACAATAAATGGAAAGATACCTATAGTAATAAGGCAAATATCTATATTTGCCTTATAATAAAATATCAAATATAATATATATGGTAAACTATAATTTATTACTAAATATCCTTAACACCCCACCGCAAGCTAAGCGTCGGATTTAAACTAACGTGAAGCTTGAATCTGAAAAATTCAAAGAGGTTGAGAAACACTTTTCGTGAAGATGTTAACAACCTGGTTCAGAGGAGGCGTAGAGAAACACTTTCTTGGCCATCGAAAATTGCAGAGGGATTGCTGCTTAACGGCGATGCTGCCTTGGCTTCGGCGAGAATATGTCTAACCCATGAAGAGGGATTGTCGCTTAGCAACGATGCTGCCTTGGCTCTGGTGAGAATATGTCTAACCCCAAGAAGTAGAAGGGGAAACCTAGAGTAAGGGACAAAGACAATGTTGAAGCCGAAAGAGTCGCCACATTGGGCGAAGGAGCCAATTTTGGCGAGAAGGGCAGCTGGAAGAGTCGCCACATTGGGGCGAAGGAGCCAATTTTGGCGAGAAGGGCGGCGGCAACTTGGTTGGCGAAGATGCCAGTGCAGCGCCCAGATTCCAAAGGTAAATCTCTGCAGAAGGTCGATGGGCTTATTGAGATTCTGTATATTTTCGAAGAGGAATGCTGATGAAGATCCTAAGATTAGGGTTTTTGTGAAGGATGAAGGATGAAGGGAAAATTGGGAAGAAAATGAAAGAGGCTATGTTTGGAAAAGGTGAGGTTGTATGTATAGAGTATGGCGAAGGATTATTTGGAGGTCAAAAGGGTGGAGCCGAATAATAATCAATCGGCTCTGCATGTGGCAGCCATGACGACTGCCCCTGCGGCGTCAAAGCCAACAGTGGTGGTGGAGAAGAACAGTAGAAGATTTCAAAAGCCATTGAAAAGAAAGAATCCGGGTTGCTAAACCAAAATGGCTCTGATACCATGTGAATGTTTGATTAATCCACCACACCTAAATGGTGTGAAAGTTATCTTATTTATAATCAAATAAATTACAAGGATATGGAAATAGTAATAAATGGAAATAACAATAAATGGAAAGATACCTATAGTAATAAGGCAAATATCTATATTTGCCTTATAATAAAATATCAAATATAATATATATGGTAAACTATAATTTATTACTAAATATCCTTAACAATTACTATACCTTGAAACTTGAAATGCGGAATTTATATTAAATGGGCTCTTATCATAAATGCAACTTACGCTTGCCTTTTATTACTTCGTGAATAACGAATGCAAGGGAAAGAAAGAAAAAAGAACAACACTGAAACAACGGTCTTATGCTACCCTACGATTTATTGTGCGATTACAATTCAACCTATACTAATGATGCAAACGGGAATCCAACCTAAACTAACCTATACTTTGAATGCAAACTATACTAACCTATACTATGAAATGGAAAACAACTATCCTATGCATCTACCACGGTCCCGAGATGTGCGATGCCGCCGTCGATCTCACATGGGTGTCTTGCCTTTATCTGAAAAATATAGTAGCACTATGAAATGGAAAACAACTATCCTATGCATCTGCCACGGTCCCGGGATGTACGATGCCGCCGTCGATCTCACATGGGTGCCTTGCCTTTATCTGAAAAATATAGTAGCACGAGGCTTGAGTATTTGGTAAGTGACCCCCAATCGGGGTTATGCAACAATCACATGCAATGAGATGATGAGACCTATCTTTCAATCTGTCTTCCTACGGTATTGTTCTAACGGGTAAATTTGGACGTGTACCATATACTCTACACACAACCCATACGTGCGAGTATGGGCTCACTAGTTAGTTCGCACACCGTTGGGCCACCTTACTTGTCGAGCGAGCATACACTGGGACGCTCCCTAGGCCGGACACCCGTTAGAACTAGTAACCGTCACGGCATCGTTATGTAAAACATAACGATCGTTGTCCTACCATTGGATGTATGCGTCCGTACCCTCGTGATGGAATTGGAGTAACCCCCCAATGCATGAACACACATAATGCATGAGGTCCCCATTATTTCTACCTTATCATTAATGAATATAACCCCGCTATCATCTTTCATGCTTAACGTGTCATTTCTCATTTTTAGTCCATGTATCATACATAATCCTAACGGGGTTATATTTCAAGTAATTTACCGTATTTCATGTCATACATTTCATGCTATTTACATTCAAATATTTCGTACAATCATGCCACAATCATTTAGGAACATCATAAATGTCATAAGCACTACATATCACATCATACTAAACAGCATACATTCACGTTCACAAGATTACGTATTTAAGCACAACAGTCTAGCATACAATTTAATGACACGTGTGAATCCACGGGCACGTGCCAACATACAACAAACAACGCGTAACCTACAACGGGTGAGCCACTTACTTGGTAGGCTTTAGCCGAAGTACTCCCTAAAATATAAACGCAAGCTCCTATCTCCTCGTATACGTCCTCCACTTCTGTCGGTGGTTGGTTCCTTAAACGGGGTCGAAATCAAGTCTGGGAGAGTCGGAAGGTGCCAAACAGGTCGAAAATAGGTATCCCGAGCTGAATAAGCTACCAGAGCCGAGAAGTCGCCGCCGAGCCGATCAAGCTGCTGGAGCCGAGGGGGTGTCGCGCTGCAGACGTGCCCACGTGGTACAACCAGAGGGCGACTCATGTTCAGCGGTCTCGGGTCGAGGCGAGGGTCGTCGAGTCAAGCGCGTGGGCTATCGGGCGGGTCAGATTCTGAACGCGGGTTGTGGCGGTTGCAGGGTTTTGGTTGTGATGGGCTGGGCTGAACTTTACTATTGGGTCGCGGTTTGTTCAGTGGGCCGAGAGGTTTTGGATCTCGGGTCGAAGATCGGGTCGGACTTCGTCTTCCTCGCCCGATTTCCAGCGAATTTTTTCGACAACGCTCTCTCTCTCTCTTCGGTCACGACATTCCGACATCCTTTTTTCCTCCTTCGTTTTCGAGTCTCCTTCTCCCCCTAATTCCGTTTATGTTATTTTTTTGGTTTGTAAAGGCCTAACACTCTCGGATCTAAGAGGGTTCGGAAATCCGACGTTCTGTCTCCCTTACCCGACGGTATACAACGTGTAGGAATCGTCTAAATCTACCCATAGTGTGTGTAAAAGTCTTTTGGGATTATTTTCGTTGCGTAAATCAGAGGTTTCGACGTCGATTTTGTAGGATTTGGCTTTGCTGGAGCTTCGTCGGCTTTTCTCACTGTCTTTCTCGTTTTCTCACTATTTTTCTTCCCTGCATGTGTCTTGAAGGTGGCTAAAGGTCGAGCGCTCTTTGTGGGTCATGTGCAAACGAAAATTCCGACGTTCGCCGGAGTCCGGAGTTTTCGGTCCTGCCAACGACCGTTTTTTATTTATTTATTTATTTTAATATGATCCGTTACATGCATATACATATGTCATCACTTCCCATCTTTATTTATTTCAAGTTGTACGGGTTATTACATGAACTTTTGAAAGTAGTATTAATACAGTTAACATTTATAAAAATAAAAAAAAAAGTTAAAAAATTTAATATGAAACCGTTCATCCACTCATTAATCATCTAATTTTAAGGATAGTAACTGAAAAATCCTTTTACATTTTTATACAAACTATATTAATTTTACCTTTGAGATTCATGAATATTTTTGAAACGGGATACTAACGGTTTCACCATATACTAAATATAATTCACTTAAATTCAATTTTAAACAATAATTCACCTAAATATTTTTAGAAACTTAATTACTTTCGTTTAAATCCATTTAAATATAATTCACCCAAATTAAATTTACTCTTGAAATTCTCTCCATTATTTGTATTCATGTATAATTCCCACAAAATAATTATTATATAATCCATCTAAGTTTTATTTGACCCAAAAAAAAAAAAAAAGACATAAAATGATCATCAAAGATTAATTAAACAAAGGAACACTCTTTGCTAAAAAAATTTCATAATTAAAATTAAACAAAATTAGTATTTATTTAATTTAAACACAGTTCAACTCGTGTATATTTTCGATCAAAAATTCAAACGGAAACTTCATCTGATCCAGGCTTTAGTGCTTCATACGGATGCTCAAACACCTTTTTCTGAACTTCTTCCTTCAAAATTTTATGTTTTTTTGAGTGGCAAATCTTTATGATCACCATCGATGATATTACCACCATAGCTGCAAGTAAGATAACACCGAGTACTGCACAAAAATAAAAATACAAATACAAATTAAAATAAACTTAATTTCCTTTTTCATAATATTATAATTATTTTAAAAACAGGTTATATAAACTTGGGATAAACCTAAGTTTATTTAAAATTGAAGCAAAACATTCTTTGTAGATATAAAGTATTATTATTATTATTTTAATTTGGTGACTCAATAACATTTAAATGATGGACTAAAAATATTTATTTATTTATGTATATATAATTATTCTAGAAAATGAAGTTTAAAGGTTAAAATCAATGAACCTTTGACCCAATTAATGATATTGCATTAAACAACTTTGAATATTCAAACACAGTTTTTATTTTTTTTTACAAAAAGTGGGTATTTATTTTAAAAAAAGAAATTTGTAGGGGTCATTTGAAATTATTCTCTGGGGACTACTTGGTCAATTTATTTTAGTAAAGGGGTTTCTAAGAAATAATTTTTATTTAGGACCTCACAATAATTTATAAATTAATTAGAAATTATTCTTATATTCATTAACAGAAAAGAAAAAAAAAACAATTTTTTTAAAGCTTTGAATTATTTTAAAATGTCTATTTAAGTCTACAAATTTTTATAAAAGTCGTTTCTTAATTTCAAAATATCTATTTTAATTTAACTCTTTAATTTTAAAAAATTGATTATTTATTTTTTCTATTATTTTATCATTTAATATATCTATATCTATATCTATATATATATATAAGAGGTTTCTTAATTTTAAAATATCTATTTTAATTTAACTCTTTAAATTTAAAAATTGATTATTTATTTTTCTATTATTTTATCATTTAATCTATATATATATATATATATATATATATATATATATATATAAAAAGTCGTTTCTTAATTTAACTCTTTAATTTAAAAAATTGATTTATTTTTTTTCTATTATTTTATCATTTAATATAACTTAATAATTCAAAATGATTAATTTTTTTAATATTTTAGAAAAAAATAGATATAATGAAAAATATGAACCTACACGAAACAAACTAAAAAATTTACGAACCAAAATAAAATAATTTCGAAAATTTAAAGGACTAAAATGCAAATAACCCAAAGTTTAAATTTTTTTAAAAGAGTATTAAGCAAAAGAACCCAAAATACAAGCAATTAATGAAAAAAAAATCAAAAGTTAATTGAATTAAACATAAAGAAAAGAAAAGAAAAAAAAAAGATTCTTTTCCTTTTTGTTCTTTTTAGTTAGTGACCTAAAGAAGGAAAGAATGGAATGTTACCTTCATAATTAGGTGCTTTATAAAGACACCCTCTTTCAGACTCTGTTCTTCCTTCATCATCATTAGCTCCCCAACTTAATGAGAGTCCAAAAGACCCATCATCAAGATAAGGGCTATACTCAAATGGGATCTTCACTTTCTTCACTTCCTTGCAAAACCTTGGTGTTTCTTCCATTTCCCTCACCACATATACATAGTAATCTCGAGGTCGGCTCAAGCACGGTATCGGGGGCGACGGCGACGACAATTTCGACGTGCAATTGAGGTATTTGTAATCTCGAACGACGTAGAAGTATCGAAATGGAGTGAGGGTGAGGTTTAGTTTGAGAAACGCGCCGTGAACGCAACCATTGAGGTCTATAAGATCGAGCCGCTTTTGGTCGTAGGAAATGGATTTGATTGATAGAGAATCGTAGGATTTGAAGTGGATTCTTGTTGTGTTTGATGAACATGAAAGGTTGAAGGTGAAAGGGAGATGGATTGATGGGCTGCCATGGCTGCAATGAGTTGTTGTTGTTTGAGCTTTAATGGAGATGGGTGAGAGGAGGAAGAAGATGATGAAGAAGAGGGCTGAGATTTCCATGGTGGAGAGGTAAAGAGAAAGGGAGAGTCTTTGGGAGCTTATATAGACCGATGGGGATTGCTCTTTTTTTGTTCTTTTGAGGAACAACAAAATTACGAATTTTCTTTTGTCACCTTCGCTTGACTTAGGAGTTAAGTTTACATAAATTTCGAAACTTAAATTACCCGTTTTGTCATTACTTTCTTATAACAGCTCAAGTCTACCGCCAGTAAATATTGTCATCTTTTAGCTTTTCCTTTCGAGATTTCCTCAAATTTTTTAATACTGGTTTTCACACCCTTATAAACAGTGTTTCATTCCCCTCTCTAACCGACGTGAGATCTCACAATCTACCTCCTTTCCGGACCTAGCATCTTTACTGATGTTTGTTCCTCTATCTAATTGATGTGGGGTCTCATGGTTCTGATAATAAGTGCCTTGTCATTTATCAGTTCTACGAAATAAAATATGTAATTTAATTTAATTTAATTCGATGAAAATGAAGAAATTTAGTGTATATTTAATATATGAGTTTGCTTAATCAACTATGGATTATTTTATTTATCATCTAAGTCAAATTAGATGGCTACTTAACGTATAACTCAATCCAACTTATACGGTTTGGGTTGGATAGGATTTGAATAAATGAAAACTTTATATATTCGGTTAGTTCATGAATTTACTTACGACTAGATTAAGTTAAACCGAACCAACCCAAATTTTATTATTAATTTTAATATATATATTTGGTTATGATCCTATATTTATTTTATTTTTATTTTATTCCATAATTATTTATTGTTATTATTTGTTCTTCAATAACTCTTAACAATAATTTTTAATAATTTTACAAAATATATATTAAAATTATATTAAACGTTTGAAAATATTTTTATTAAAAATAAAAATTTAAATAAACGAGTTAACCAACAAAAAAAAAAAAAAACTATAATTATTAATTTTTTAATTTTTAGGAAGACTTCTTCAAAGGTATATATATATATTTAATTTTGAGGAAGACTTGACCAAAGTCTATAGTTGTTGGGAAGTGTATAATTAATGGGTGAAATTTAGTGTGGAACCTTTGAAGTTGAAAGGGACAAGAAGACACGACAGAGCTGAATGCATCTAACCACCCATTGGTCCATACTAAAAAACAATAAAATAATAATCAAATTTATGAATTTGTTTATTATTATTGTTATTTATTTAAATTATCATTGGTATTCAAATGATGTTCTTGTCCAAGTTTGGGATGAGAATTGATGATGGTCAATTCAAGTGCCATTTGGGTTGAGTAGGTTTTATCCCTCTTTTTTTTTTCTTTAAAGATTATGTCACATTTTAGTACTTTAATGGTGTCGATTTGAGTTCATTTTAGGCTCTCTTTCTCGCATGATTTATAGCGTACTCAAGATTGACTGTAACGACGTTGTAATGGGTTCACGATGATGAGATTTGCAAAGGGTTTAATCTCACCGCTAATAGATATTGTCCTCTTTAGACTTTCCCTTCTGGACTTCCCTTCGAGATTTTAAAAAGCGTTGTTTAAGGAGAGGTTTTCATATTCTTATAAGGAATGCTTCGTTCCTCTCTTGAACCGATGTGGGATCTCACAATCCACCCCCATGGAGGCCCAGCGTCCTTGCTGACACACTGTTCGATATCTGGCTTTGATACCATTTACAACCGCCCAAGTTCACTGATAGATATTGTCCTCTTTAGTCTGGATGAGTACTAGTTCCGTCACATCACTCTAAAAGATGTGTTTTAAAAACCTTAAGGGAAAATACAAAAAAAGAAAACTTAAAGAGGACAATATTCATTGGTTGTGGACTTGGGTTGTTATAGTGTCTAGATAAAACATAAGGTGGGTATTGTTCTGATTAATTTATGGTGCGTTTCAAATTTAGAGTCGAGATCTACGAAGTTTGACCTAATCAAACTCAAATCGGCAACATTTTTTTGTTCAGTATTTTTCGTAAAATTAAGAAGATAATGCTCTATTTAGTCTTTTGGACTCAATTTAGAGGCAGAATGAGATGGATAATATTTATTCCAATGAACCTTTGGGATTAAATGAAACCTATCGAACTTCCTTCTCTCGTTGATTCCTTGTAGGGTTGGGGCGAAAGAGGATCGAAACGGGGCTGAGTCGAAATTGCACGAATCTTAGGAGCATTGGGTGAAACATTTCAATGTGGGGACGACCATAGGTTTAGGCATCGACCCGAGTTGTGTTATCGTCAACATTACCATTTTCTTACGCTATAATATTCAATACCCTTAGTCCTCTTTTCCAAGTCCTTGCGCAGCCCGACTTCCATTGTTCATTGACTTCGTTTACACATGAAATTGAGTCAACCTTTGTTTGTTTTCGATTTCCAAACTTCCCAAAATAATAATAACAATAATAATTGAATGATTTTGTAGCATCATTGACTCAGGTCTACACGCCCGATTAAGCTCGTGTACCGAAACAAATTAAATTTATCATAATCTTTTAACTTATTTAATAAAAATTAGAACAAATGGTTACAATAAATAAAATTAAAATTGATTATGGTTTAGCATTTTTTTCTTGAAATTTTTATGAGATACATTTGTGTAAAGACAAAATATGTTGGAAAGACTCGTGTTCATTTGTGGAAAATTTCATATGTTAGAAACACGGGGCTATAATAGCTTTTAAATTAATCAAAGTTTGTAAAAGTTATTTTCATTTATTAAGATTTCTTTATAGCACTTCTAATCGTCTAAAATCATATTGAAGTTAAAGAATTAAAGTATAAGCATATTTGGTACGAAGCGAGTACGGGCGAAAATGAGAACGGAGACTCATTTAGCTAACGCATAAAAATCTCTTCCCACTATCTCCCCATTTCCATGGGAACCGAGGTTTCATGGGTTAGACATCTCTAATTTTAAGACGAACACATCAAAGTGGCAGTGAAAAACGATGTTGTGAGCATGCCTGGAACAAGGGAGGAGAAACGACATTCGATATCGATGACCGAGTTTGATGAAGTTGGCTGCCATGCATTGCTGTTTTGATGGTTCAAAAAGAGCATTATTTGCCCAATGCACCCGAAAAAATTTCTTGGAGTCATTGATAGTAGAGTATAAAGGAAGGAATCGATTGCTAGGAGATATTTTTTTGTGGGATCTCACACTAGTTGGAAAGAGGAATGTGTTTTAAAACTGTGAGGCTGAGATACATAATGGGTCAAAACGGACAATATGACTAGCGGTAGGCTTTTGCGGTTACAAATGATATAAGAGTTAGATACCTAGTGGTGTGCCAGAGGACGTTAGGCTCCCAAAGGAGGTGGATTGTGAGATCTGACATCAATTTGAGATGGAAACGAAGCATTTCTTACAAGGGTGTGGAAACTTCTCCCCAATAGACATCATAAGGCTAACGACGATATGTAACAGGTCAAAGTGGACAATGACAATGACAATGATAATGATAATTGGGTAATGTAAACGCCTTGAATATCATCACTAAGATAATCATATTAATGATAATTTATATGAAAAAATTTTAAAATTTAAGATAAAATAAATAACTTTGCCCGGGTTGATTATATTATAAAATAAGAGGAATTAAAATTAGATAGGAGTGGAAATACAAGGAATATTCCAATGCCAAAAAAATAGGAATAATGTTTGGTATTTTTATGGATAAGATTATAGTTTAGCACTTGGAATATTCCCTTCAAATATTTTAAATTCTAATTAATTTTAGTTTACTTATGATTTAAGAAAGGTGGAGTCTAGTTCAACGATAATTAATACTTATTTAAACTATTTAATAAATTATTTGGACAATAATTGATCCTAAAAAATTAATAATCAATTTATTATTATTTTTTGTGGGTCGTTTTATTTTCAATTATTAACCATTTGAATTAATGTAATATATATATATATATATATATATATATATATATATAATTTTATTTAGTAATATGGTCAGAAGCTTTAAATTATTTGTTTTTATATAAATAAAATCATTCATATCTATACTTGGTTTAAATTGATCCATCAAGCTTATTGGGTTGATTTTGAGATAGCCCAAAACAATTTAGTTATTAATCCAGAATAACGGTTATTGTATTTTCTTTTGGTGTAAATGGGTTGGGTCGGGTCGGGTCGGGTTCAGGAAATTATTTTGACCAACCGAAAAGTTCAGGTTCATTTGATCGGTAATCCAACCCAACTCTAAAATGATTCACAACCCAACCGAACCCTCTATTTTCGGATTTGGTTTGGATTGTTCTGAAAAGCTAATGTTGAAGTACTTGAGGCTAAAGCTGAACAACTAGGTAGCGACATACTTGAATCCAATAGCTGAAGTTAAATCGAAACGAGAACTCAAGAACTAAATGTTAAATCCAATAGTTTAAGTATTCACCTCGGAATACTTAAACTATCGTATAAGAATTGACTATGGAGCTGATTTTTTTTTTTCAAGTACTTAAACCTGAAGAAAAGCAATTCCCTAGAGACAAATCGACAAATGTCTCGAGAAAAAAACAATGGAAATTGAAAAGAGTATATATGCTCGAATTCATGATATAGATGTTCGAATGGCTTGGTTCACTTTTAACCTAATTCAAAAAAAAAAAAAAAATTATAATAATAAAATTAAAAAATCCTAAAAAGTTTCTCACCCAACTTAGAGAAGGTAATTTTTCTTCGTTCCCAAACTTTTGCTCCACTCAAAATTCTCCCGATTTACTTTAAAAGTCTAGAATTTATCACAATTTAGGATGGTTGGGACATAAAGGTCAAATTACATGTTTTCAATCGACACGTCATTTATAATATTCATATATATAGAGATATCTAATAGATCCTTGAAATTTTACATTAAATTTTGTATTTACCTTATAATTATGTGCTTAAATAACTAAATGATCTATTCCAATTATTTCATGAACTTATTAGATACAAAATTGAAAGATTAAAGTCCTCGTGAATAACCTTATTAAAAAAAATTTGCTTTGTGTGCTTGGCCAAATGGGTTTGACGCTTCTTTTTGCCCACAGTTATTGGGCTTGTGTTTGCCTTGTGCCTCAATTCAAC